TCTGCTGCCCTGTTGATCCTGCCACCTGAGGCTTTGGCTCACCTTGCCTCATGAGTGGGCCAGTTCTGGATGAGGCCCATAGTCTCATTTACTTGAAATGTTTCATCATAAGGTGCATCCTCATCAGCACAGCATGACTTCCAGAGAATCAGACCAAAGCAAATGGACAAATGTCTTCACTTGAGAGCAGATTAAAAATATTTTCAGCATTACACTTACTTTACAAGTGGACTTGTGCATTCACTGAACAAACAAACCTGGTGACCAGTGACGGAACAACAAGGGACCATTCCTATCAGGCACATAACCAGCAAATAAGCGTTCTCCATGTGAGGGTGTCTGGCTTATCCCTCCTTAACCCACAATATTTGCCACATGAGTTGCTTATGGGAACCCCCATGGGAGCACAAGCTTAGGTACACACACACAAAAAATACCCTTCACTCTACAGAAAGTAACTGTCAACTTTCCTTCCAGCGAACATTATTTCCCTTCAGCAGTCAAGAAACTTCTTTCCTCTGTTCCACTCTCAAAGCATCTCAAGCATCAAGTTAATTCTCAGTGTAATCTCTTTCAAGAGGTCTCTGGTATTATCTGCTAATGCCCCCCCCCCTTCTCTTTCTTAGTGAGTCATAGGCTTGATGATCCAAATCAGTTTGCAGCAGAAAGCCATTTGCTGTATTTACTATAGGTAATTTGCCAAATGCTTTTATGCTGTTTTATCAACACGGTACATCCATTGTTTAGCCCTCTCAATAAAGAGGTCTTTTTTTTTCAAGCCAGAAATGTCATAATGCTTTGAGTACATGCATCTCAACCAAACCATTTCTCTTAACATTTTATAGTCTTTGGTTCAGTCATGTACCTTTCATTTCAGTTCTACACTCAAGTATTCCTCAAACACACGCAAGCAAAAAGAAAAAAAATATATGAATTTTTATTCTTTGTCTGCCTTGATTCCACTGAGAACATCTTATGTGACATTACAGTCTTTTACTGTCCGCATTTCATTATACGGAGCCCTTCAAATCTCCTTCTTAAGTTAGAAGCAGTAACTCCTTCTCGAATAAATCTAACCATGCCAGCATTTTGCATCTTCTTGACTCCAGTGAAGTAATTGATGTTGTGCTGTTTCTCTTGACTACTCCCATTTAAAGTCTGGGTTTTATACAGTATAGGGTTGTCAGACACGGAACGTTGGAAACAGAGAATCAAAAGGGCACAATGATTACGTATTAAAACAAGCACATTTATTGATTGAGACGCATGTGTTCCTGGTTGTTTTCTACGACACTGTTTGTTGAGCAAAGGTGTGTTCTCAAGGGAGCACTACAGAAACCCATTTGTCAGAGCTGCCCCTGGTCCCAGCTCACAAAGGACCAATGCCAGTTCCTCTTTATATACAGAAGTCTTTATTGAAGTTCATTATTGGTTTGACAGCCGTGGCGCGCAGCCCTACGTCTGTAACCCTAGACCGTCGAAGCTCCATCTGAGTCTCCTCCCCCCAGACACCAGTTTAAGACCCTAGCTTTGCTCCACCTCTTCCTCTGCTCCCTCTTCCTCTGGGTCCGCTTGTCCACCGAGGTCTTGCCCTTCCTAGACTCTTCTGAGGCTGAATCCCCTGAGTCTTCCCCCTCCCTCCGGCGAGCTTTAGGACCTGGTTCCCAATCCGTGCTTTCTGCTGTCCCGCGCACCTGTACATTTGAACTTGGCGCGCGCGCCCAGCCTGCCACCTTCCTTCTGACCGTTATACTGCTCCTGTCGCTGCTTCCCTTTTCGGGGATGCCAGCTGGGCTTGACTCCGCCTCCCTGCTTGCCGGAGGAGACGCTGACTCTGACCTATGGGGCTCTTCCCTCTCACTACGCTCTGGTGGGGAAGCTGGCCCTGATTTCCAGCTACTGCTTTGGGAGTCTCCGCTGGCCCCCTGCTTCTGGTGTGTCCCCCCTGGGACCCCCCTTGCCCTGGCCATCGGCGCCCCCTTCTGGGAATCTTCTGATTCACTGGAGAGGCTCATGGAATCTCTCGGGTCACTGTCATTCTGCCCTCTGCTGCCCTCAGATTCTTCCCCTTCGCTCTCCATTTCCTCTCTCCCCTGCGCCTCTGCTCCTGAGCCCCTGACACCATTTTTAGTATGTAAGCCCTAACTTCTACCATCATTGTTTTGACATTCTGTTATGTACTGAAGTTCTCACCCTGGGCCAGCAGGGGGATACTGTAGATAGTTATGCAAATGAAGGATCGAAAGTGACGTTCAGTGATTGGCTAGTTACAGAAAATGGTTACTGTTGCATTCTAGTGGAGCTCTATATAAGCAGGCTGACTGAGCTCCTCAGTTCAGTTCAGTTCCAGCTTACAAATAAAGAGCTTCTATGGAAGAATCGCTGTGTCGTCTGATATGTTCGCCCACAACTTAACACATTCAAAGACTGAGGTTGAAATTTAGGACGCATTTCAATGAATGAATCCCATCAACAGAAGCCATGCGCGAGGACTTCTGCTTGCACAACGGGGCTTCCTCCCCTCTCCTGCCCCAGCACCTTCTGTGCACACACAAAGTTGTCAGGAGACACCCCCCAGAACAGAATATGGGGAAAAGAGGAGATACTGTTATTTTTGGCAAGCCAAAATGCTTCCCCTGCAAGAGCGATCACATTAGCATAGTGGCTCTCAAACTTTTTTCTCTGGGCCACACTTTCAGAATAAAAATTTGCTCATGCCACACCAAGTTTATTCCACAAATTAAAAATAAATAAATGATACTACACTGTACTACACTGGTTTAAATGTTTCATCCATTGTCCTCGAACCTTCCAGCCACACATGCCATACTCTCCTGCCACATCACTGTAGCACACTACCTTTGAAAACCACGGCCTTAGCGAGATGTTGCATTCCTTCCATACTTTTAAAAAATACAAATCATCTCTGTCCATAAAATGAGGAAACCAACCTGTCACTTTTCTGTGTATTTCCATAGGGTTATATATAGGAGAGAAACAATCAAACCAGGTAACTAGGAGCTCTAAGGTTTATATAGTGGCTACAGTAAGTAGTTTAATTAAAGTACAGTGGTACCTCGGGTTAAGAACTTAATTCGTTCTGGAGGTCTGTTCTTAACCTGAAGCACCATTTTAGCTAATGGGGCCTCCCGCTGCCGTCGTGCAATTTCTGTTCTCATCCTGAAGCAAGGTTCTTAACCCGAGGTAATATTTCTGGGTTAGCAGAGTCTGTAACCTGAAGCATATGTAACCTAAAGTGTATGTAACCTGAGGTACCACTGTACTGTTATTTCTAAGCAATCCTATACACTGAGTAAACCCCACTGAACTCAGTGAGATTATTCTGAGTAAAATGTGTATGGGATTGCACTGAAAACTATGCAACCTGATATCACTAGATACAACAAAAACCCAACATTTTGATTGAATTGAGTCAGATTCAGCTAATCCTCTGGGCCATCAGAAGCCAGCACCAGGGCTCTCGTGAGTGCAATAGGGCTTCTCCCCCCTCCTCCTCCAGCATGCCCCCACCTCACCCAAAGAACAGAGAGGAGGGGAAAGGGGACAGCTTCCGCCTGGCAAGCAGAAACGCTTGCACTCCTAGAATGATCAGAAAAAACATGATTTTGAATTCCTCCCATTGTGATTTCTCCTTATTCTGCACTAAACAATAGGTCGCCTTTCAAGCACTTTGATGCTCCACTGATTTCAATTAGATTTAAACATGTGTTCAACAGCTGAAATCTATGGTATGGTAAAGAGTTTAACTTTGGTTTGATTATGTGTCTACGACGATTTTACCAACAAAAATGTAAAAGGGGCAAAGTGTTCTCCTCTAAAATATCCATGTTATGGCCAAGCCACATAACCTTTTTTTACTTGACAATGACTTAGATGAGTACTGATTTTGATTGCTGGTACATTCACCATGTAGAGAAGTATACAGTGGTCCCTTTGGTTACGTACTTCATTTGTTCCGGAATTCTGGAGTTCTTAACCTGAAGAACCACTTTAGCTAATGGGGCCTCTCGCTGCCACTGCGCTGCCGAAGCATGATTTTTGTTCTCATCCTGAAGCAAAGTTCTTAACCCGAGGTACTATTTCTGGGTTAGCGGAGTCTGTAACCTGAAGTGTATGTAACCTGAAGCGTATGTAACCCGAATTACCACTATATATTTATTCTTTCATTACATTTATATTCCACCTTTCCTCTGGGGATTTTGAGGTGGCCTACAGACTTCTCCTTCTCCCCATTTTATCCTCACCACAACCCTGTGAGGTAGGTTAGGTTGAGAGTGAGTCAGCAGCTCAGGGTCACCCAGTGAGCTTCACAGTTGAGGGGGGATTTGAACCCGGGTCTCCCAGGTTCCGTAACCACTATACTAGACTTGCCATTCTAGTATCTAGAAAATATCTACCTAGAATCTAGAAAATTCCTGACATGCCCTCGTTTTAGGCTGTAAAAATAGGGGGTGGGGATGGCAACGTGATGGAAACAGCTCCAAAAGCTTAAACTCTCTATTTTTTTATTCCCCCCAAAAAGCCCAACAATTTTGGTGGTTTCCTTTTTGAAAAAAAGCTCAAACAATTTGGGGGTCTTCCTTAAAAAAGTGAGTGTTGGGAATTTTACTTTTTGAAATATGGCAACCCTACACTATACCACACTGACTATTCCCTTCAAAAGCACCCTAAAGAACCAATAAGGTTCAAAAAGTTGGGAGCTGGATCTATGAAGGTGATGATAGAATCATAGCATTGGAAGGGACCTCAAGGATCATCTAGTCCAACCCCTGCCATGCCGGAATATGCATCCGTCCAATGCGGGCATAAAACTTGCAACCTTGGCATTATCAGCACCACGCTCTAGCCAATAGACTCAGTTCATCACAAAGTCAATCTCTGCATCCTTAAGAAATCATTTGACTTGCTCATTATTTCAGGCATATTGAATATTGCAGTCTGAAACACTGCATAGTAGAAATTAATCCAGTAATACTTACAGCCGATCATCATCATAGCAACAGCAAAGATCTTCTCTCCATCCGTGGTTGGTGCAATGTTCCCAAATCCAACACTGGTAAGACTAGTCATTGTAAAGTATAACGATGAGATATAAACAGAATCCTTGCTTGGCCCTCCTTCCCATTTTCCACTTCCTGACCTGTTAAACTGATACGGTGATCCTATGGATTCGCCCAGCTGGTAGAGCCAACTTTCGTTCCGTATTGTGTTTTTATCCTCATTGATAACTTCATAGTCCCCGATGCTGTACCAAATGCAGGCCAGCCAATGGGCTGCAAGACCAAAGACACACACCAGCAGAACCAAGACAGCTGCTCCATACTCAATGTAGTGGTCCAGTTTCCGAGCCACGCGACCAAGCCGGAGCAGCCTGACTACTTTAAGGGAGCTGAACAGGCTGCTGATGCCCTAGAAGAACGAAGCAAAACAAAACAAGCTGATTAGCATTTGGCATTAAATTATTCCATGTCTTTTGTCAACCATAACCTTGAGCTTTAGACGTCCAAGGTGAAGCCTGGGCAGACCAAAGACATGCCATTCTATAAATACAGTGCGTTCTATAAACAGGCAGAAGGATGGAGACTGGGGGTTGTATCCCATGTAGAGCTAAGTTAAAGTCACTTAGTGGTATACTTGTTACACTGGGGGAATGTTGTTCAACAAGGGAAAACACAAATGCATTTTCAAAGATTGCTGTGCAACATGAACCAGTTGTTGCACATACAAACTTTCACTAGTGCAACTTCCGTTTAGCACAAGGGCTCTTGGTGATCATGAAAGGAGGAAGTTGGATATGGCTCCATGGGCCCAGTTGAAAGAAGGTTATGCTGAAATCCATTAATCGGCCTTGATCTAAATAGGATTTGGGAATTAATACTGTCTCTGGATTGCGGCACAGGTATTATGCAAATGATAAAAAAATGGCTCCATAATTTAAAAAACATACGTGTCATCACCAGATTGCTGCAAATTCAAGACCCCGGCTGACCTACCTGCTCATGGTTTTCCTGTATTAGGTTACCCTGGGTACCTCCTGGTTATGAGATTATCCCAAGAAACAGATGGGACATGGCATATAAACCTCCTCCCTCTGGCATTTTCTTTTCCTATTCACTCTTTAAATGTTTATACATTCCATTGGTTTGCCATTACAAAACATCCTCAGTTTCCAACCCTTTGAGGTACACATTTTTTTTTTATTTCACACTGAAATTGGCTAACGCCTATGCTCTGAAAATATGGCATTTCTTGTAATCCCCATTAAAAACAAGAAATTAATTAAGAGCTGCGCAGGCGTTGCAATTTGACTGCTCCTCTGATTCTTCTCCACCTTGCTCCAAAATGTGATGCACCTCTGGGAAACAAACAACACCCTAACTCTGATTAAAACATTAAAGCAAGATTAACAAAAACATCACACTAATTATACAACTAGGATCAGCAATATCAACAGACACTTGAGCAAAATCCCTTTCAGACTTTTCCATTAAGCCCCTTCTTATTCGCACAAGGTGGGGTCTGACAAGCAACAACAGAAAAGGCGAGTGTTCAGGGGTTTGTTTGTTTTTTTAAAAAAGGTACCGGTATCTTTCTGGAGCTATTTATATTTTAAAATCTGTGTACCACAATAAGATCCCCACTCATGGTGACATACAGCATATACAACACAATCCAATGCCTTAAGAAATACATACACCAAACCCAATACTAAGATTTTGTCAAGAATGTATAACTTGTTGCTGGAATGGAATACACAAGATGAAACAGTTAAATCAGCTATGATTAAGTGGGCACAAGACATTGGTCATAACATTATGTTTGCTGACTGGGAACAATTATGGACCACCGGTATAAAGTTCACGGCATGTAATGCCTTAAGAGAGAATATTATGAAAATGATTTACAGGTGGTACATGACCCCAGTCAAGCTTGCAAAAATTTATCATTTGCCCAATAATAAATGCTGGAAATGTAACGAAACTGAAGGTACTTTCTATCACCTTTGGTGGACGTGCCCGAAGATTAAGGCCTTCTGGGAAATGATTTATAATGAAATAAAGAAGGTACTTAAATGTACCTTTCACAAGAAACCAGAGGCCTTTCTCCTGGGCATGGTCGGCCAATTGGTGTCAAAGAGAGATAGGACGTTTTTTATGTATGCTACTACAGCAGCAAGGGTTCTTATAGCAAAGTATTGGAAGACACAAGAACTACCCACGTTGGAAGAATGGCAGACGAAGGTGATTGACTACATGGGACTGGCCGAGATGACAGGCAGAATCCGCGACCAGGGAAAAGAGACGGTGGAGAACGATTGGAAGAAATTTAAAGTGTATCTTAAGAACTGTTGTAAAATTAATGAGTGCTAAAATGTCAAGGGTATAGGAAAATGAGGATTACAGCTGTAAATGACTATGTAAGAGAGAAGGAAGGAAAAAATGAGTAATTGGTTAAACTAAGTGAGGACTTGCTGAAGAAAGTTTGAAATAGGGATGCAGAAAGGGGAGGTATGGGGAAGTCGGAGAAGTAAGATTTATGAAAAGAAGGTTTTGAAATTATACGTGTTTATGTGTTTGTTTGTTTGTTTGTTTGTTTGTTTGTTTGTTTGTTTGTGTATTGTGCATTGTATTGTCTTTATTATGTGTTGGAAAATTAATAAAAATATTTTTTTAAAAAAAAGAAATACATACACCAAAGCATCAGAAATATTTTGGCTACTCATGATTTGAGTGGGACCACATTTGTCATACCACAGTGCTAGTCCTGCCTTCTGGTATTGGTGCACCGAGCACATATTTCTGCAAAGGACCACCTATGCAAGAACAGCTGCTTGAGTATATGGGCTCCATGCAACCAGACCATCCAGTTGTATTTGTGTCTCTAGCAAGCAGAGCCTGGTCCATTAGCAAGGAGGAAAGCTCACCAGAGAATACTGGGTTGCTGCTGTTTTAGCAATATCCCCATGTAACTCAGCTTTCAGGCAATGCGCAAGCTCTCCTATTTCAGAGAACCTTCCATCCAGCAGCATAAAGAGAGAGCAACTTTTCTGATGTACATATAGGAGCACACCAGGATTCAAGTGATTGAAATTGAAGAGTTGGGGGGGGGGGAAACATGCACTGTTGAGAATGAGCTTTCAGCAATTTACAGGTGGCATTTGCACAGCTGATAACAGTCATTTTGCAAGCGTTTTGTATTTGCAAAGAAGGTACTGGAGACAGTTGTAGAGGCTGAGAAATGGAAGCACTCGAGCTGGATCTTTCTTCAAAGCATTGCCTAGTGCAGTGAAGAATTTTAATTCCCAGGCACACTTTCTGAACACCAGAGGCAGCATTACTTTTAAGGCTAAAACAGAAAAGCTTGAGGGGAAATAGTGGTTAAAGTGGTCTCCTGTGGGTGATGGGCAATCTTTTTGCCCATGAACATGCTGATTTGGAAGAACGGCAGATCAAGATGATGGAATACATAGAGTTGGCAAAGTTGACAGGGAAGATCCGGAATCAGCGCAACAAACTGTTTCAAAAGGACTGGAGCAAATTTATATTTTATATGAAAGAACATTGTAAACATCTGAAAACGTTTGTAGGTTTGAGTTGAAATGTTTTGTAATGTGAATATAAGAGATGTTCCAAATTGCAGAGTTTGGGACATTTTGGTCCACCATCTTGATTCAAAATGGCGTCCAGTGGTATCTAAACTTACTACCTTTCTAGTAGAAAAGGGATTTAAGCAAACAAAACAACAACAACACAACCTTGGATCAAGTCTGAATACTGGATAGGTATAGCTGGAGGGTTAAGGGACAGTCTTAATAGGTATTCTGATTACTGGCAAGGTTTGAGTAATAGTTTGTTATAAGAGAACAAAACATATCAGAGCACATCTCAAAGCAAGAAACACATGCCTTGTAGGAGACATACTTCTCCCTTCAAATTGCTTATATTTAAAGTGTCCTGTGTTAATGAATATTTTTGGAAATAAATTATTGCTTAATTCTGGTCATCAGGCATTTATGGAAAAGTTTGTTCAGTCATGCTTAAATATCATTTGCGCCAACATTTTTGTTTAGTCTTGCTTAATGCAGTGGAAAATCTCATTTCTTTTGCCCATTAATATATGTTTCTCATATTAACATATGTTTCTGGGAAAACAGAAATACTGCTGTTTCGTTTTTAATTCATGAATTTGTAATAATTACATTTCTTCCATTGTTGTTTTTCTTTCATGAAAAACACATATGCAGCTTTTGCTGAATGCTTACACAAACCATTAAACCTCTGGGGTCTTGGTTAATTGAGCACAAAGTGGGGGGGGGGGACAACGAGTCAGTAAAGCAAAGTAATTTGTAGATATTTAGAAAAATGGCCTACAACCGTGCAGTCCTTTGTGCTTTACTAGTGTTAACTATGAAGCAAATAAAAATGTGCATTAAACATGAAGCAACTTTCCAAACTGCAGAGATAATGCTCAGCTTTTATTTTAGCTTCCCATTTTAAATTCTTGGCTCTACTCCTGAAATCACCTACTTCCCATTATGTGAGTCCCATTGGTGAAATAACCGCATTCTGGATGTCAGCCAAGCATGTGACTACAGAAAGAAGTGTGTGCCTTAATGCTACAAGAAAATAAAGAGTGAATATCTTTACAAATGCATAGAAGTCGGAATTACTCCAGGCATCATCCAAATAACCCAGTTCTATCTGCACTGAGTGCCTCTCTGGGGTCTTGGGGAGAAGTCTCTCCTGTCACTTGCTAGGTGATCCTTTCAGCTCCTGGAGACACTAAGATTGAATCTGAAATCTCATGCATTCTAAGAATGTACTCCATCCACCAATATTGGGCTAAAGCTTCCCCCAACAGTAGCCCAGGGCAATAGAAAGGGGATATTTGCCAGCTGAGAGGTGATTCTCTGCAAAGCCATCTAGTGCCATGGCTCTCACTGCCAGACCAAGAACTCCCAGCTTGGTTTCAAGGAGCAGCCGGTACAGAAGAGTTATAGATACATGGCTAAGTGCAAGCTAAGATATTGATCCAACAAGCGGCACACACCCTGCGCTTTCCTTCTGAAGTCGCAGGGGTCCCAGGAGTGGGCAAGCCAATGCATAACCTCCAACATTTCTCCGATGAAAATAGGGACAACCTACAGGACATTCCAGGATCAAATCAGAATCTGGGGTGGCTTCTCTAAATCAGGGAAATCCCTAGAAAATAGGGACACTTGGAGGGTCTGCAAATGGGCCTTCCTTTGAATGGGCTGAGTCATGCTGATGTCTTCATGTCCTTGCAGATGGAGGTATCTGACTCCTCTGCCAATCTTCTTGACCATCATTTCCCTGCAGATTCTGTTCTCCATTCCCTAGACCAGTAGTTTTCAACCAGTGTGCCGTGGCACCCTGGGGTGCCTTGAG